AGGCCGAGGGAGCTCCCAGGGGTGCTACCCAGCGGGCCCCTGCCCATGTAATTCGCCATTTCGTGGGATCCTTGCCAGTTGGGCGTATCATCAGTGCATCCAGCTCCGTTTTTGCCCCGTTTTAGATATTATCATAAGCTAAAAAAGGTGGAGGTGGGGCACCGTTGTTAAGGGCGCACAGCCATGTACGGGGAGACAGCCGTTCATGGTGCCTGACGGGACCTACCGCTTCACCAATACCCCGATTACCCGCTTCATCCTAGCTCTGCGCTTCACTAAAGTGTACGTCGATGTCGGATGCACCGGAGTCACAACGTGCCGAGTCTTGCACTAGTCCTGCATCTGGCTCTTATGCTGATCAATAGGCTCCTCAGCATAATTTCGCTCTTGTGGGGAGGCGTGATGACAGCAGCCGGCGGCGCCCAAACATCCAGCTGCGGCCGGGTAGCCTCGCAGCGCATCACGCCCACCATGACAACCCGCCACTGAAGACTTAATTCAGTATGGACTGTAAGCAGGCAACGCAATGATGTTGCAGCTCAGGTGGCTAAGGTTATGTCGTTGCATGCAGCTGGTAGAGATAGGAGCTTGGTGTAGCGTATCTCACCTCATCGCACATTGCCGCTGTGTGTCAAGTGACCCGCGTCAGTATCACCTGTCATTGTGTCAGATGTCAGGCACGAAAATCGGAACAGCACCAGCAAACGTGTCAGATGTCTATCGGCGCTTCGGATGTGCGCCAGTGTGTGGGACGCCAGTGTGCGTGTGGCAGACGTCGACGACCGCGGCACTGCCTGCGCTGACGCCAGCGTCGGCTGATCACTCTGCGTGTGTCGTCTCGCCTGGTGCCGCGCCGGCGGCCGCCGAGCCGACGCCGGCGCTGACTGCGGCGGGCGCCGCCTCCTCCGACAGACGCAGTACCACAGCCGGCCGGACTCCCGGCCCGGCGACCCTCCGCCCGTCACCTTCTCCTGCCAGCACGGCCCCGAGGAGTGCTGGGCCAACAAGGTGCACGCGTGCGGCGTGCGGCGCGCCGACGGTCAGACGCAGGCCGTCGCGTTCGTCACCTGCATGATGAAACAGTACCGCCGGCTGCGCCAGAACGCCGAGGAGGTGAGCGCGCAGCCGGGCTGGCGCCGGACGCGCTGTGCTGGCGGCGCCGAGCGGCAACGGTGGCGTTTGCTGTGCTGGCGCGGGCGTTGCGAGATGGCGCCAGGGCGCAAGCCGCATCTAGGGCCGACTAGTCAGTCGGAGTGGCTATGTTGGATACATGGACGCATTCCTTTGGTATGGTGAAATTTGACGGTTTGACCGGATCTCCCGACGGACTGTCAAGTGGTACGCGTGGAAAGAATCGACTCGCTTGTTGCATGAGCGCTGTACGACATGTCGATTTCATCAGACAGAAATGTCCTTAAAGTCTAGTCGGACGTTCTCGCCTGCTTCTGCAGTGCTCGCCGGCCAGCATGAGGAAACTGTTACCCAGCCACGTTGTGCCTGCACAACGCGCGCTCGCCACTGTGTGCCCGCTGCAGCCTCTCATGCACGGGTTGACTATGTGTGCCCTGCCCGGTGCCCGGGAGCCGCGGCTGTTCGCGAGGTGCCTAACTGAAGCCGCGCCGTCGCTGCTGCCCGCAGTGTGCCCGCTCCACCGGCCTTGACTGGCGCGAGCTGGCCGTCTGCGCCGAGGGAGAGGACATTAACGTGGACATGGAGCGCTACGGCAACATGACTCACAGCCTGCGCCCGCGCGCCATCTTCATACCCACCGTCACGGTGGACGGGGTGGGTGCAGATGGAGCAGCGCAGTCCGACGCGGGCCGCGGCCGCCGGCCGGGCGTCGGCCGACCGACGGGATCCCTAGCTCCGGCTCCTAACCCTTCGGCTTAGCTGCCGGTTACCGCCGCAGGGTTTACGTACAGTATTGTTATTGTTACCGGTGATTGACGCGGTATTAGTTGACTTGGTGATTTGATACGCGGAGATGGTCGGAGGTCCTGCCATTTTGAATGTTGCCATTTAGTTTTGCCTTTGAATGTGGCAAATTCGCATTATTTGGTCAAAACCCCAGAAACACGCTGCAGCTGCCAGCTTTTCAGCTTTATCAAGTGTAATCAACGCGAATTAAACTTTCTCTAAGTGGCGTCGGAAAAACAAATCAATCCAAATATGAGAAGTTCAAATTTGTGGGTAGATTAAGGTGTTCAACAAAACAATGGTGCGCCAGCCCCGCTTCCCCTCTCCCAGCCCAGTGACTGTACTCGCCATTAGGCAATGAATCATTTGCTCTTGGTAAACTTCAATGGTCCGGGTCCGCCTACACCCGGAAAACGATTGTGTGGTGCCCATGTTTCCGTAATAATAGTACTGGCATAACATGAGTAATTAATGAAAATGTTCTGTATGAGTGACTGAGCTCCCAACACCCATCAGAAGACCTGTCATCATCATCGCTCCAGCTTCTAGCGTCTGGGAGCGTCTCACGAAGGTGAAGACAGGTGACAGTTCGCACTCGAAGATGTGTCCCTGACGTCATTTGTGTTTTCAGAGTCAAGAGCACCAAGGTGAAATGTTTTCCCAACTTATCAAGTTTGTGTGTGCCGCATATCAGGTAAGTGACTGCAATTGTGGGGTAAGCCTTGCTATCCCATGGCTTATCTCACTTGTGAAATACTTTTTGTACTTTTTGGAATAAAAATCCCGGTAAATGACAAACGCTCGGGTATGTGATAGGACGTAGTCTACAGGGCAGGCTCTGACGAGTCTCGCTCCGTTCAATATAATTTTGTTTTAAAGTCACTAACGTAATATTCTCACTTGTGATTAACAGTATGTTGCGTCGCCTAGTTTCTGTGGCAAAAGTCCGCAGTCAAAGCCAAAGAGAAACAACCGGGTGGATGATAAATCTGCTTTATCAGCTGCGTTGCAAATCGTTAATTGGCTTTTTCGGAGGCAGTAGTGGTAGATCCCCGCGGAATGCTCGCCCGATGTTGCGTCTCATGCATGGAGCCGTCCAGTGCCGCGGACTGTTGGGAGAGCGCGTCACCAGCGCGGCGCCGCGGCGGCAGTGCGTCGCTGTGCGTCGCGCCGCCGTCGGCACCGCGCGGCCGCTGACTGCGTGCTGGTGTGCGGCCAGGCGCGGGCGGACGGCCGGGCCAAGCCCAGCGGCTGTCCGTGATCGGGGCCAGCGCGCGCCACCTCTCCGGCTCGCCCGTGCTCTCGTCCCCGGCGCTCCGGTGCGAGCGGTGCGTGGCAGCGACACATCCGCCGGCCGGTCAGTCACGGGGCGCCTGGGGTCGGCTGGACCTGCGACGCTGTCGGCAGGCCGGCCCCGGCAGCTGCTCCGGTGCGGTGCGTGTTGCTGGCGGACGCGAGCCGGCTGCTGCGTCTGCTCATCACCGCGTGTCGGGCACGTGCGGGCACGTGTGCCGGGGCTGTGGTTGCGGTGGGGGCCAATCAGATATTAAGGTGGACTGTACCTCGGCCCTGCGATCCGGCGCCCGGGTCACCGCGTGATGACGGGTGGACACGGCTGGATTTGTGCAAGCTGCACGGGGGTTCGGGCAATCTGCATCGGGGTCTAAGCACGCTAACTGGATCACTTCTTGGGGGCTGGTGCGTCACATGTGTGGTTGTGATACTATTTCGGGGAAAATCGTTTGTTGGTTTGTTTTCATTTATCGTCGCGTCCGTGCTCAGAATGCGGCCCGCGTTGTAGCCATTCCTGATGATCTTGATGCCTGTCAGGCATTTCAGAGCTTTACTCAGGGTAGTGGACATTTATGTTCCCGTCCTTAAGCATGAACTCTGAACCATGTATGAAGTCATGCGGGCACCCTTGACCAGTGGGTACCCTTGCGGGTACCCTTGACCACCTTCTGTAGAACGCGGCTGATTGGTTGTCTTTTTGGGAGGGGGGTGGGTGCTGGTGTGAGTCGTCCAAGCCCACCAGAATTCTGCTGTACCTCTGAGACCATCCGCACCAGTCACGGGTTTCGACAAGGCACGCCGCGATGCCGACGGTGAGGTACGCTGTAGACGCTCAGCCCCGCGGAGGCGGACCCGCCGCTTGCGCTGCGAGGTCCGATGCGCGTTCCCGGCGGCGCGCGCGTGCGGCGCCGCTGGCGCCCGGCGTCCGCGTCGCCGCCCGGCCTGTCCGTACAACTGACGTCGATCCGTCCTTGTGTGGCCGCCGCGGAAACGCGCCCCCGTCCGACCGGGCCGCAGAAGCGCGGTCGGAGTGTTCCGCACCCGTTCGGCCTTCTGTGTTGTGCCCGACGCTGTACGGCATTTCAATGCACCTTATTTAATATACTGGCGTCACCCGCGACCGCATCAGGTGTTTGCAGCTTGGCTTCCGGACTCGGGCCGGCTCGCCGCGGCGATGGCGTGGTCGTCAGCGGACAGCCCGACCTTGTGCGAGGCACAGCACGGCCGAACGTTGCCGGCCGCGCGTGTCTGCCGCGTGGCGTCGTCATGGGCGGCACTCGGGGCCTTGCGGGCCACGTTGCACCCTGCCAAGCGGAACAAGGAGCCCCTGAACGGCCAAACCTCAATCGCTCGTCACGCGCGATATGCAGTGTTTGGAAGCATTGCGGTGGCTTGCACGCCCGCGCTGTCAAAATTAGACCATCGGCTCGCGACTCAATAACCTGAGGCTCGGGCGACTGCGTGATCCCGACCGTCAGCGGGGGGAGGGGGGGGGGGGGGTCTGACAGGGGCAGACGACGGGACCTCCTCTCTTGGCGCAGACGGACAGCGCCCGCGTGGGCTGCCCTCGCCGATGCCGTGTCGCGCCGGCAGAGCTGTGGGTCCGCCGCTCGGCGGCCGCACGTCGCCGCCCACCCCGCAGCTGTGACGCTGGTCCGGCGCCGTCGCCACCCCTCCGTCCTCGACTCCAAGGGCGGCAGTCTCCCCGCGCCCTCACAGACACCGCGCTGGTTGTACTGTATTTTCTTACAAACGCACGGCTGGACGATGGCGACCGCGTCAACAGGGCCTCAGCCGGCGCTCGAGCCCTCGACGATGATGGCCTGCGCCAGGTTGTGGGAGAGCGCGAGACGGATCAGCTTCACGTCGGCCGAGTCTTCGTCCAGTTTTTCTGTAATCCACATAACACCGGTCAGCGCACGGCACGTGCCATAACTCAGCCGGCAGGGCACGGCACACGCCATAACTCAGCCGGCAGGGCACGGCACGCGCCATAACTCAGCCGGCAGGGCACGGCACGCGCCATAACTCAGCCGGCAGAGCGCGGCACGCGCCATAACTCAGCCGGCAGAGCGCGGCACGAACGACACGAGCGTGTCGCGGGTCCAAGCACGGACGATACGAGCACGTCATCGTTTAGAGGCCCGGAGCACGAACGACTGGGATACGTCGCCGGCCAGAGGCTCGGAGCACAGACAGCAGGGGTACGCCGCCGGTCGGAGGCCCGGAGCACGGACGATAGGGGTACGCGGCCGGTCAGGGGCTCGGAGCATAGACAACAGGGGTACGCCGCCAGCCAGAGGCCCAGAGCACGGGCGGAAGGGGTACGAAGCCGGTCAGAGGCCCGGAGCACGGACGGTAGCGACGGCATGGGTCGTGGCGCGGTCAGCTCCGCCAGCTGGCGATCGGCGCCGCACGAACACAAATAAAAGTGGACACGGTTGGGAACAAGTCAATCAATTTTCGGCCGGTTCTACAGCACTTTTCAACAACACACCGAAACCAGGGGCGCATGGGTGTGAGGCATGAGGCATGAGGCATGAGGCATGAGGCATGAGGTATGAGATGGGTTGAGGCGCTGATGGTGACCTCTCGGATGGGCCGCAGATAAGTCGACCGACCCCGGGCCGGCCGGGCCGGGAGCGGATCGCGCAGGACAGCAAGGTTAGACCATCCAACGGCACGGGTGGAGCGAGGTCTCGCTCACTGTGATCTAGCCCTACCCTCCCCCCCAAAAAAGACACTTGAGAAGCGGCAATCGGGAGAAGCCATTACCTGACTGCGCACGAAAATGTTCTGCAACCTTTAAAGGCCTTCTGGTTCCCTTTTATGCATTGGTTATTATTGTACATATTGGATGCCTTGGTAAAAATGCGTTCCTGTTGCCTTTCCATAACAATGAATCGCGTGAACACGTTCCCGCTGACCTGCTCGACAAACAAACGGAGGCCGGTGCTCCACACTCCCGACGTTGACAGCGTCCACACGATCACGGCCCAGCGACCCAGCCGCGCGGTCACGGCATTATCTCCGCACGCACGTGCGGGTACAGTGCAGCCGCCCTAGCAGGCAGGGGCCGGAGCGCGGCCAGCGACGCTCGGCGGGGCGCGTGCCTTACCAGCCCGCCTCAGCTGCTCCACGCAGCCGATCAGGTCGTATGTCTGTGCGGACGATATGACCACCTCCTCGCCCTTCAGAAGCGGCACGGCATCCAGCAGCAGCGTCATCCAGAAGCTGCCGATGGCGCGCCCGCGTCATCAAACGCCGAAGAGGGGGGGGGGGGGGCAGGACGGGACGGAACCGTCCGAACAGCTATGGTGTCCGTGAGGGGGGGGGGGGAAAGCATCGCGGATGGAGCGGTCGGGCCGGCGTCGGTAGTGCGTCGAAATCGAGCCGGCCTAAAGGCCAACAACGAGACAAACGACAGCCATACAAAGGTTTGACCGCGGCTCTGATCGGACGTCGGTGAGCCCGTCACAGCTGAAGTTTTTCGGCGCGTGTTAAGTGCACCGACGCACAACAGGCGTGCCGCGGCTGACGTTTCGCAGTGCGCGTTAAGTACAGTGACTCACAAAGGAACGCGTGGAGATCGCTGTCGCGAGGCTAAAGCGGGGCGCGGTAATGGATCGTTCGATGGCATCCTTTCTTGTCCAGACGGGAACTGACAGCGACTCACGGAAACACGCGCCGCTGGCCCGTACAACGACAAGAGTTACGAGCTAGCTATCCACGCAACGGTGCGTATCACAACGTGGCTGCAGGACTCACTATTTGGGTGCCAGCTGTGACGTGAGCAGTGTGACGAGCAGAGAGGCAGCGTCTGCCATCTTACCCTCCTCATAGAGCCGATGGAACTCACGGTATTTACCTGGCGACAAGCAGCGGGAGGTCGATACCTTCGGCGAGTCAGATGCCAACGTCGCATGTCGTCCGTAACGAACAAAAACGTGAAGTAGCGATTACACGGGTCTTGCCGACAAATTACGAATTGCAGACAAACTGAAAACATGTCGAAGTAAACTGCACTGGTCGTGACCCAGATTGCAGTCTCAGGAAATACCTGAGACGCCTCGAGTGGCCAAGTGCCGCCATGTCGTCCCGAGCCAATCCACGTCAGCACTAACGCCACGCGTTGTCTCAACAACCTCCAGTCACCAACAGGCGAACGTTCCTCGTGTCCTGCGCGGCGTGACGATCCTACGACACCCTGGCCGCGGCCGGTCACCAGTGCGCGCCGCTGGCGCCGGCGCCTCACCGAGAAACATGAGCCGGTCGCTCTTCAGGATACAGGCGCCGAGGTTGTCGATGAAGTCGGCGCTGGCGAACTGTCCGGTGCCGCTGTACTCGCGCACCAGCGTGTCGGCCAACCGCGAGGCCAGCGCCGTGCTGTCCGAGCGCAGCGCCCAGGCCAGCGCCGTGCCCAGCTGGCCGGCCCGCAGCGCGCGCCGGCCCATCACCTGCGCCACCGAGCTGGCCACCTCGGTCAGGCCGCGCCGCTCGGCCACCTGGCCGACACGAGAGGGGCGCTGGAGACGGTGCGGCGGCGACACACGCGGCGGCCGCGATAACAGTGTGCGGCGCTCCACCCGTCATCACCGTACGAGCGGCCGTTACGTCGCGGACGAGGCACTCCTCTGACACTGCGGTGGCGGCACTGATGAGTTACACACTGCGGCTGACAAGCTGGTGTCAACGTTCCTGTTCATAGTTCTGACACAGCTCTTTTAAAAAACAAAACATGGGCTTAAGTAAGCAAGATGGCTGACGTGCCCTTAAAGCTCCATAACTAACGTCCACGCGCGCCCGTCCACTCGCTGACGGTGGCTGCTTTTGACCCAAACACTGACGCGCCTCAGCTGCCGTGGCGTCACCCTACCCCGTCCCGCAGCGACGTGACATGACGCCCCCCGCCCCCCGCCCCGACCGCCGCGTTCTGTCATCCCAGCGGTCGGTCTCACCTCGATGATCTTGCGTGCGCGCCGGTCGGAGTCGGGGTCGAGCCGCTCGAGCAGGAGCGCCAGCCGGGCGCGTCCCTGCGGCCCGCAGCCGTCCAGGTAGACGGCGCCCAGCTGCCAGAGCGGCCGGGCCGCGAACAGCGCTCCGCCGTACTCCAGCACGAGGTGGTGGCGCAGCTCGGTCAGGAAGCTGGTGCGCCGCCCGCCGCCGCCGCCGTAGGGCAGCCGGTGCAGCAGGTCGGCCAGGTGCGCCGTCAGCCAGCCGTCCGGCAGCGTCGCCTGCGCCGTCTTCAGCAGCGTGTGCACGTCGCCGTCCACCACGGCGTGCAGCATGGCGTCCAGCGCCGAGTGCTGCCTGGCGCCGCCGAACACCTCGATGCTGTCCTCGGCCGCGTCCCTGCCGGCGGGACGGCGGCGCCGTCACGGCGGGGGTGGTGGCGGCGAGATGTCGGGGCCGGCACGTCCCGTCAAAGGCGGCGCGGGCGTCAGTCCGATTACCGCCCAGTGCCGCAGTGGGAGCTTGCTTGTAATCGGGTGGCACGACGGTGGCAGCCGATGGGTGAGCGGAGCAAGTGATTCATTGACGAATGTGCTAAGCGTCACAAAAGAAGGTATCGTTTCCATCGCGTGGTGCATGATTTTCACGGGCTGGAGCAGTGGCCCGTGTGGTTCTAGGCTGTGTAGTGCGACACCTAGCACGCCTGTCAAAATGGCAAAGTTGCCGAAGTTATCACGCAAGTTCGCAACACACTTACTGTCGCACCTTCCGCATACGCTTCGGGGTAATGTGTTGCGTGCACACCGATCGCACAGGCTTGTTAGCCGCGGTACATTGGCCCTGCGGCTGGGCTGGCCGCGTAAGCCGTCGCTCGGCAGCAGGCTGGCACCGCAGCTGGACCCCTGCCGGGTGTCGCCTCCAGCCTCCGGCACAAGACGCGCCACCCTCCGAACTTTATCCGCCCGACCGAGGGCACCGGCCTTCACAAGCAACGACATTTCCCAGGTAACCAACACGGCCGACGGTCGCTGGCAGGCAAAACGTGTTGGCAAATGAAACGGCGACATGACGCTATCACTGAACGCCATGTCATCGCTAACAGCATGCGAATCCCACACGACCGTTGACTCTTAGTGCGCCCTCGCGCCCGAACGCCCCAGCTTGGACTGGCCGTCGTACCGTACCGCACCGCACCTGAGGTCGGAGATGCCCACCCAGGGCCGGGAGTACAGGGTGTAGGACACCATGAGGTGGTACCAGGAACCCATCTGCTTGTACAGGTCCTCGAAGGTCGGAGCGTCGCCGCAGAGAATCTGCCGGCACACCGACGCCAGGAGTTAGCCAATACAACGCCTGGTGAGCGTCATCTCCAGCCCAGGTACGAGTGAATCGCTCCCAGCAAGGAGTGCGCACACGCCTAACTCACATGAACAAATCCTCCTGTTCACGACTACACCATTTCTGCCAAGCCCTGATCGATCCCAATGCTAACGCCGAACCAAGACCGCCCATCTCCCGTCCCTTCCCCCCCCCCCCCCCCCGTGCGCCTCCGCCCGGTCACCTTGACCAGCGTCTGGAGGCGAGGGCTGAAGCCGAACTCGCCGTCCTCCAGGCGGCGGATGCACTGCTCCTGCCAGCCGCGCCAGCGTAGTTCGAAGCCGGCCACGCTCGCCTCGCCGCCCGCCGGCGTCTTGCGCAGCAGCTCGTCGGCGCTGACGAACGGCTCCGTGCCGAAGCTGCCGTGCAGGCGCAGCAGCTTCCGCGCCGCGTCCTGCCGCCCCTGCAGCACGAAGCCGTATACCTGGCCGGCGGCGGCCGGCGGTCAGCGGCCGTCCACGCCCAGCGCTGGACCGCCGAGACGGGGAGCGCACGCGGCCGGCCTGCGCGCGGCCGTCGGCACACGGCGCGGAGCCGGGAGGGGCTGGCAGGCCTGGGGAGGAAGACGCGACAGCTCACGTGCGTACGCTCGGACGCAGCCCCAGCTGCGTTACGGGCGAGTGCGCACCGGCGGTGCCCCGTGTGTCAGTTCAACTGGGACCTGTGGACGTGCGGCTAGCGGTTCCGCGTGTAGAGTGTGGCCAATGCTGGCCGGTCCCGGGACCCGCCGGCGCGGTGCAGTCTGGTGACCGTATCTGGTCCCCGGGTCAGTACAGGCCCGCCGGCCGACCCCAAGCCACGCAATGGTGGCGACGATTACCTGCCGATTTGACCTGACCTAGCTGCGCGGTTTGACACGATTACTTGCCGATTTGGACCTGACCTAGCTGCGCGGTTTGACACCACTTTCGGGCGCAAGACGGGACTTTGGCGAGGTTGCCGCAAAACATGTCCAAAATGCCGTACAAAATGTCACCCTGACAGCCTATGTGCTTCAACTAATTTCAGCTGAATTCTTTTCGGTAATCGTTTCGCAGGTGGTGTGCACGTCAACATCTCCACAAAAACTAGTACGTAGTGTTCCAGCACACCGGCGGCGGTACAGCATACCGGAGCTCCCGGGGATGTGCTAGGCATCATTTCATGGAGCAGCATCATACTTAGCCAGCTTGTAACGTTTGGGTGCTTTCCACGGCACGCGATTCTTGTTCGGCGGATAATAGCCGAAACCTTCAGGCACCGTCGGGTAGTTCACAGGGCCTCCTGCAGGTCGTGCAACAGCAGTATTCATTTAAAGAGCGCTGCAATAGTTACGGAAGCAGCGCTGCCTACCGTAACGCCGCCCCACTGCTGTTATTTACTGAGCCATGGACAAAGGCCCGACGCAATTTACGAGGGTATCAACACGATGCAAATGGAGGGGATTCTTTTAATCCTTTTGCCACCCCCCCCCCCCCCCCCCCTCCAGCCCTTTTACTTATCTTGTAAAGGAAACAACACTCTTGCAACTGGACTCTTGGGACGCAATGGTTACCATTTGACGGAACAGCTTCGTATCAAGCCAATTTGTAACATTTAGGCGTCGGCTATAGCATACAAAGTGTGGAACAGATCTCATACGACCTTTCGAGAGCTGGTCCCTACATTGCCCCGTAAAAACACAAAGTTAGCGCAATGTGCTCACCACCGGAATGTTTTAATCACATAAATAATAGTGTTCGTGTAAGAGATGAAGTAAGGTACGGAGCCCGCGCGTTACATCATGTCCTAATACACTTAAAAGCACAGTCATCAGGTATCCAAAACAACCGTATGCTAGTCATCCACTTCAGCATTCTTAAAAACATGGCGACCGCCCGATAGCAGTGAGCGTGCAAAAACGCAGCCGACGCTAACTATCGACTTCAAGAAACATGTGACGTTTCACGCCCCAGTGCCCCCGTCAGAGGATCAATGTCAGCAGCGACAGCAAAGCAGCCAGCAGCCGGCCACCGGTAACAGCGAACACGCTCGGTGTGATATATCGCACATCAATACCGGAATCACGTGGCGCGTGCCGTGCTCCAGTAACCTTGCCAGCACGGATTGCGTGCCATGATCGTATCGGCAGGAATAAGCACCGAAATGAAAAAAATGAGTTGATTGCAAACTAGTGAGAGGCATGAAAGTCGAAGCAGAAAATAACTGCATGAAAAATATACGTTTATCCCAGCCAAGCCCAGCCTGACCCAAACTGAGCTCCGTTAACTTGATTATTCCACATCAATTTTATACACCGTGCAGGCGCAGCAGTGCAGGCAAGATATTTTGCATGTTTCCATACTCCGGCTGGCACGTACCGTGTTCCAGTACTCGGGGTGGCTCTCTGGCACCTCTGCCTCGGTGACGTGGGCGGCGGCCCTGTCGAACTGTGTGGCGTGCTGGCGCACCCAGTCCAGCAGCTGGTACAGCACCACACCCCCTGGGCGGCAGCGTCCAGCCGGTCAGACCACATCACAGGCGGCGGCACGCGTGCTAAACGGAAAGCGAGGCTACAAGCTGCTCAAGTTGCAATGTTGCAGGCAAGTGACACCTGATTAACGTACGCTTTGTTTGCAAACGCCCTGCAATCTATGCAGCACATTTTCAGCACCGCATTCGCCAAATATTGCGTGGAACTGGCGCCAACGCGTACCCGTGAGTCGCATCGGTGTGGCCTATATGACTCACGAGTGAATATTGTCCCTAGACAGCGTCAAGGCCGGGCCAAGATACTGAAGTTCAAAACTGTCTTACTGCTCAGGCAGACTTAGCTCGCCTGCGGCTTCGCTCGTTAACAAAGGTCTCACGGGCGCTTCAGCTGCATGTTATGCGCGCTTCGGCTTGTGGCTACACCGATATACCCGAGCCAAATCCGGACAAACAGCCCTGCATCGCCTCGGGGATGAGACATTAACTTCGGCCCCAGGTGAGCACCTCGCTTCTTTTCGATGAGGAGGATCTCGCAGAGGTGCCAGATCATCTCCATGCTGTCCAGGAGCTGACGCTGCATCTCCGCATCGGCCGCGTCCGTCGCCGACACCGTCTCCATGCTGGCCCGCAGACACGACCTGAGGCAGGATGCGGCGTTCACCAGCCCCGACCGGACAGGCTCCCGCCATACACAGACCGCGCTGCGCCTGGGATACGACAATGCCATCCGAGGCAAGGGAGGACGACACTTACACTGGGCCTGCGACAGACCACGCCGCAACCCCTGATAGCGGAGGGGGAGGATCGTTCGCAAGCAGGACTGCCCAAGACACAGGGTGCAGCGAAGTCCGCCCGCTGACAGAAACCGGCCGCAGCAAACGTCTATCAACCCGACATAAAGGGGTTTGACCCATCGATAACACCTGACGCAGGGCATGGCTGTTACCCGAGAGGGACTGGGTCTGGCCCGCACGGAGCTGACAGCGAAAACAAAACTGCCGTTGGATATTAGGGGGAGGGAGGGGGAAGCAAAGGATGTTATACGACACAATACGACTGTGACTCGGTAATTCAGTATGGGTGGCAGCGGCTCGGGGGATACTCAACACATCATTTCAACAGCACGCACGTATGCTGCCGCGCGTCAGTTAGTCGTGGCCTACAGGACTAGATACCCCACGGAGCGTACTGTAGTGTTGTGCGGCGTAAATACATCTTGCTGTTAACTCCAAAACGCATTTGATATTTGTCGCGGGTCGCAGCAATGTTTGGGGCCATTCGAACGAAAGCCAACACTTACAGACCTTCATTTTCAGGTCAAGTAGTCACGTAGGCGATCCCTTTCAAGTGAGGCATTAAACACGTCAAGTACCACGAAAATGTGCTGGAATGATAAGGGAAGCTATTGCTCTTTTGTGCCACTATGGAACGCAGAAACACGGCATGAATACTACAGTGCGCCGGCCGGGCGGGGCGCTGACACTGTAGATTAGCCGTGTGAATATTACAGTGCGCCGGCTGGGCGGGACACTGACACGCACCTGAACACTGGCCGGGTGAATACTTCAACGCGCCGGCTGAGCGGGGCACCGACACCCACCTGTAGCGCCGACTGAGCTTCAGAAGGCTCTGGCGCAGCGCCGTCTCGTCGCCAGTTAGCTCAAACGCCTGCGCGTCCAAGAACACGCCGGCCGACTCGTTGGCCAGCTGCCGCCACCAGGCGGGGAACTGGCCGCTGCTCCAGAACACCTCGCGCACGCAGGTGCCGCCCTGGGCCACGTCTGAAATCAGACGGCGCTCCGGTGAGACGCGGGCGGGCTGCGATGTCCATCGAGCAGCATACGAATGGAGGACTGGCGCAGCAGGACTACAGAAAGCCCTATCAGGATCGGCTTCGCTGGGCTCCTGCTACCAGCAACTATCCATCTCAACTGTGGGGGTTGAGGAGTTCATAACAGCCGCCAGTGGAAGGTGACAGGATTCACATTCCCAAAAATCTGAATTTTAGGCCCTGCATTTTTCGCAGTACCACGCAAACACAAATGTGCTGAATCCCCACGAATTCCGCCCATGCCGAGGTTTATGAGTCTCCATATTTGCAGTGCAGTGTAGTGACACTTGCGTAAGCAGTGCGCACAGTGCGCGCCTAACTCCAGGTCACCCAGCGATGTACGACGTCAAAGAAACGTCACATAAGTTTTATCTTCACAATGGCCATTAACGCCTTCGTGTCTGAAGTACGTCTGCAGGACTTGTCGCATCAACGGACACCAGTTAGCTCTCAATAAACTCCACGCAATAAATGCAGGTCTCGATCACGAACAGCACCATAATACAGGCGTTTGCACAAATCTACCAGTTACGAAGAACATGAGGTTTGAATCCAATAACTTAGAAATAGCGCCCTAGCCGAGCAAGCAAGTGCAAATAACGAATGTGCTATCAAGACAAAACATACAAGAACACGAGGAGAAAGGACCAAAACACGCGCACATAGCAATGGTCGGTTTTTTACATGCATAGATTAACCAGCCACCTTGCGGCGAGTGAGTTTGAGTACTGCAGGCGAGCCAGCCCGTCCGCTACAGTGGCAATTCTGGCACGGCCAGTCTGACAACGGCTCTGACGTCATAAAAAGTCATATCGTAATGAAACGATGATGTATTGAGCAGAATATGAACTGAATTGTAAAATTTTGTTATCCAGACGTCTTTTGCGCTAAATACTTTACCAAAAGTTTCAAGTGGGCTTTTTCATCATAACTGATGTTTGCCTCGATATCTTCAAATGTGCAACATTTCTTTAAACCAAACAAACGTCACGTAACATACGGAAGCAAAAAGTTATGTTACATTTGTTAAGTTAAACTGTGCCACGTTTGTTCAACTGGTTGTGTAGATTGGGTTCTTCAGGTATCATGACATCTGCGACCCGCTGGGCCAAGCCTCAATCTTACAGCCAACACGTTCCCCACCTATTACTTAAAGTACGCAGCTATCAGAAGCGTTGACGGTGCTCGTTTTAGAGGCACACGAACGACACGTTCAGTAGACAGATTGCTTGAATTTGTTCGAATGAGAAATATCATCTACAGCGGCGTGATACCTCAAACACTGCCCAACAGCTGGATTGTGGGGAAAGCGAGACATGAGATGTATGTAAACTTTTAACTGAAAAATCCACTTCGTCATGAAAATGTTCAAAACCAGGCCAGCACTATTAAGAAGAATTTCACCATAGTTCAAGTAAGGTAGCCCACTGTTGAAAGAAGTTTAAATGAGACAAAAAGCAAGGTAGCCCACTGTTGAAAGAAGTTTAAAAAAGTCAATGTACTGTTGAAAGGAGAAACAAGGCTTACCCGGCATCCTCGCTGGTAATAATTTGTTGGTGTATTATCTAAAGACATTGTGTTGGCCGTCCGAACGAACCGTCCGTCTCGGACCATTGAGCGATGCTCAGCACCGCTAATTTTCACAACGAATGTTTCTAAACGATTCATCGGAAAAGCACCCTTTCCCTGATCGCACTATACGTATTTTCTAGCGCACGACTGTTAGCCGTCTTCACCAGCACAGCAAGAAAAAAACCAAAAAAGGTGCAACTGCCAGCAAAGTATCAAGACGTTTAGGTACCATGTACCCCCTCCCCTCCCCCATCTCCACACACACTCCCATACGTATTTTAGTATGCTTTTGACACGCGCTCGGGTGGAGGTCAAATTGCCCCCCCCCCCCGATGATTTTCCGCAATGGTTTCCGAAGGGCGCGGCAAAGCCGCGCCAAATTTGACGTATTTGTAGAATGGCAGGGAATATATATATATATATATATATATATATATATGTATATATATATATACATATATACATATATATATATATATATATATATATATATATATATATATATATATGCACAAAGAAAAGGCCAGAATTCACCACTGACCTAAAATGACCCAGGTCAACGTTTTGTTTTAGGAACATGCGGACACTTAACTGAATGTGACTATCCCATTCGATACAGTTTTCAGTTCACCATGCAATGTTCATTCCACGCGATTTGCATTCAGCAAGGTCGGTTGGCGCTGCAATAGTCCATGATCACTGCCACAACACTGTTTTTGTCACGTGATCTTCAGTCGGTTCAATTTGACTTGAGTCTATATCGATGTAAAAATCTGAACCTTTGTTACGTTGCTAGTCCATTTGTGTCGATGGTCAATTTGAGATTGCGGAATCAAATTCCAGCCCAAGTCGAAAGGAAAATTCCAAAACCTGAACCTTAGGCACCTCGTATAAGTTAAAGGTCACTAGTGTTTGAATCAAGCCATTACTCTACGTCAGTTGTCTGTTGACATTCCTGTAATCCAGGGATTCAAAATGAGCATGAAAAACTGTCCCATAATCCTAGTTCTCCAGTAATGTGGCAGTTAGGTTTGAACTTTGATATGATCTTCATACCTGACCTGAGTTCAAGTGAATTGGCCATAATCTTAATTGCAATTGTTGAGGAACCATCTCAAGCGTGTATGGCTTCGCCTAACACTTGTATCACTTGTAAAACCCGACTGGACGATCCCATAGGAACTGCCACCATTGACAGCCATAGCCTGGACTAAGCCTACTACAGGTCAGCTGCCTTATGAGGCATATCATTTTGGCATGCCAAGAGATGGACTTTTCAGGTGCCTTCAGCTGTACAATGTCTGTTGCAGTGTGGCTACACCATTCAAGAGTTATTTTTAAAATATTCAGGGTCAAATTGATCCTCCACACCTGTCTGTTTAACACCTTACAAGACATCCAATCTCATGCAGAAGGTTAAATGAATGCAGACTTGGTAACACTCTATGCTACAATATGCAGAGAACTAACTCACAGAAGAATGGGGCTTAACAGATGCTGTAAAAGGCATATCCAATGCTCTTGTGGAATATTCACTAGATGCATGCTTAGTAACATGTCTAAGTCCATTCAAATACAATGAAGATTACCAGACTTCTCCATGGCTCCAGTTTTGGCTCCATAGTCAACCGCATGAAGGACAGCATTGTTGTCACAGCCAAGAACCACATTCATGCTTGCATGTCGGGAGCCTGGGATGTCACCACCTGAAAATGTTTGGTGTGTTACTTACTGAATATAAACTGTATCAGACAAGCAACCTTTCATCTGTTGCACTAGTGTTAGAAGTGATGAGGCTTCAAGGCTATGTGAACAGTGGTTGTTTGTGCCCAGAATTGTCTCATCAAAAGACTTCTATACCTCATGTTGTTTCACACCCTCATTGCACATCAAATACCAGAAAACTACTCCCCACTGCCAGTTTTTGGGGGACAACTGTGATTGGTCACACAACAACTGCCTGTGACTGTTGAGACCTGTAGTTAGTTGGTTTCTTCAAGCATGTCCAACTAATCATGACTTACTATGCACATATGCCACTACTACTCACACAAGGAAGTAAATCATCTTCATCCATGGTGCCACTTTTCAAGGTGATGCAGCTCAGCAGCTATATGCCAAAGGTACTAGTGATATTTTCTTCTCCTATGTATCCCTGAAAACAATAACCATAATCAACTGGGTTCTACCACAAACAAACAAGTGTTGTCACCCAAATGTGAACACTACACTGGAATCATTCAGGGGGTAAGACAATTCACCAGTATTATTGTGACAATCTCCATCTAATCTTTGAACCATTAGGCAGCCATGCAGCATGACCCTTATTTCATTTTGGTTTATTACCACTGCATGGCTCTCAAATTTGTGGTAGTCTCTCACCTAGCTGGGAGCACTGAGGTATTCTGCACACGTGGTGGTGAAATTATGAACATAATTCTGTCACAACAACATACATGTTCAAGGCCGCCAGCGTTTTTTGGCTGGCATTCACATCATGGATAACTTGCATGCTGAGAAAGGAGAGCTTTCGAATGGATGTAAAGCACGCAGATTTAAGGGAGTACTTCATCATCAGACACCTGCCAGAAGCTCTTAACTCTCAACAGTGCTATTCTATATTCGATCGGACCACTCACCGTCGATCGTCCAGCAGCAGATTGTGGAGTCTCAGACCATTGTCTGGAGCGGTGCAAACTGATCGAGCAGCCGTGATTCCAACGAATTCCGATGCAGATTATCTCCATTGGTGATGTTTGTCGCCAAAGCGCAGCTTATGTCCCTTTTTGAAAGTTGCGGCTAGTTTCACGAACTTTTTTGTTTGTGGGCATCGAAATTTTGATGATGGAAAGACAGCCGAAAATAATGACAGTGAACCACGAAAAGAGAAGATCAAGCTTATTTAAAACTGATTGGCAGAAAAAAGATCTGTTTTGGTCCTTTTTATACTGCTCAGTTTACTACATTTCGTTCTTTAATACTAGGCCACTGTTAATAGGAATTACCGAATCCGCTGTCCAAAACAATAACTGATCAGACAACTGGGACACAAGTGTCGATTTGTGCTGTTTTGGGTAGACCATTGTTCTACCCAATTGCCAATTCTTCCCTGCGGTGACTCCCCCAACCTTTTTAGGCATTGCGTTAAGCTAGAAAGAACAAATAAAATGAGCAATGCGATCTCACGTTCAGTTGAGTGATGCCGACTGAGGTAACCACATTTTAAAAGCTTTGCTCTCGTACCGTCATAACTACTTGAGTATTTTCTGTTCTTCCTAATGCTAGATGCACGTAATGACACCTCTTGATACGGCTTATGGGCACTGGTCTGTATTTTGTGCTATGGTCTGAGCGTTTTTTTGGCATTATTCAACGATGCTATGAGTTCTACGCATTGCAGAAAGCTGGGTCAATTGGTCACAACGTGCTACTGGAACGCGAAAAACAAACTGGTGGAATAAATATGCCCAAAAGCCTGACCAAGATGACAGTTGTATATGCTCGGGAAGAGCCATTGAGTATGCTGACCTTCATTCTGGCATGAATATTTAATGGAAAAGGTACCGCAGACCCCACGGTCAACACCAGCCGGCTAACACCCATAGCGATAATCGTCCAACAATGATCACCAAAGTAGCACTACCCACGTCTTACATGCAACATGAGTGCTTCGCTACAGCCTACACCTCGCCTTGCCCGCTACCAGCCGGGGGTTTCGATGGCAGCCTTTAAGAGCCGCGCACATAACTTAACCCTCTTTTCTCCCCCGTGCAACAACGTTCGAAGTCACATCAATCTATCTACGTTGATTCCCGAAACCTGGTTTTCGACAATCGCCGTCAAGGTACATGATAATGATGCCCTCCGACAATATCTCTCTTGAGGCAGGTCGAGGACCACGCATAACAGCTGGATTGTAATTCCCTATTCAAGGGGGGTGGGGGGCGGGCTTAAACATCATAACGCTGGGATCAAAGGGGGCCAACTCCAGAAACAGTCTTAGTGTATTTTGGGCTAGGTTTTCCCCACTCAGCCCCATCCTTCCTATTTTGCGAAACTACGACGCTGTGGAGGAGGCCTAACGAGCGTGATGCGCGACAGATTCGCCACCGGATTACTCACGCGTTAGGTGTGGGACTGAGGACCTATTTCCCAGGCAGGGACAAGATTACGGCCCGCGATTTACATTGGCCGGGGCCAGTACCGCAGGCAAGGGGTCATAGGGGTACGTGCCCCCTATGACCCCCTCCCCTCCCTCTACCGTTTGAGGACCCCCCCCCCCCCAGGGGGGGGAGTGTCTCAGTCGGCCAGAGATCACGACCGCCGAACGGTTGGCTCCCTGTCAGTCTGAACTCTGGGGGAACATTTCTAGCAAAAGGAGGGTTAGGGGCCACGATTTGCAGTGGTTTCGGCCCCTGAAACAATGGCTTAGGCCCCTGTGTCGGTGAGGGACTCACAGCGCCTAACAAAGAGTCATATGCTGGTTGTGGCCCCGAGTTGCTCACGGGCTTTGCTTGAATGGCCCCAGGGACCAAAGATCAAGGACCGATTGAAAGGCCCATCGTCCTTTTGAGGTGAGGTCACGGCCCCAAAGGACCGGTCGTTTGTTACATTAAGGATGCCTTTCTGTCTGTAAAGCCGTGACCCCAAATGTCGGTCAGAGGGCCTCTTGCATCGATTGGGAACCGCTGGGACAGTGCGGCCTCTGTTTCGGCCAGAGATCACCAACACCGTACAGTCGGCTGCGTGTCGTCTGAGCCTTGGGAACCCATTTCTCAAGCACGAGCCATGGATGAGGCTGAGATTTGCATGATTCAGGCGTCTGATATCTGGGGGTGTCGGTCGGGGACCTGTAGTGCCTAGCAGGAATCCTGTGGTGGCAGTCGCCCAAAGTCGGTCCGGGGAAAATTTGCTCAACAGGGACGGGGCAGGACCCGAATGACAGAGGGCCTCCTGCGTTGATCGGGCCTTCGGATAATGAAAGTAAACATACGAGCACATGATGGGTGCTCACATTGAGGACAATGGAAGGGTCCTGTGCCAGCCAGGGTCCCCAGCACCGAACGGTGGGCCCTACAACCCATTCTAGCATGGGCCCGTTAAGCCGAACTGGTGTCTATGTGTCGATTATTGAACCACCTGCAGCGATCAGGGATGTTGTTGCGTCAGTGAGGGTTCCTGCGTCAATGAGGGGCCAACTGCGCGGGTCAGAAGATCTCCCGCGACAGGACAGGGGGGGGGGGGGGAGACCAATGTGATATGAGGTATTCCTCTAAGGGCCCCCGAATCGACCAAGGGACCCCACACTGTGTCGCAAGAATGGCAGGCGGAAGGCACTCCACGTTGGAACGGAATGGCCCTTCAAGCCCTTGACCGGGAACAATATGTACCCTCTAGTGTTCTACTCATGGGGACGCCTGCCCGCAACAATATTGAGGGCCTCATTAGGGTTCAACAGAGTGGATCGGAACGAGTTCAAAAACGAGTGAGATCATCCCATGTTCGCCTGAGAGCAATAACTTTGTGCGCAGAGTTCATCAGCCAAACCATTACACTAAAAGGTTTGAGCCTGCGCGTCCGAAACCTCGGGAGCAGGGACAACGATGTTCTGGGTACTCTGAAAAACCGAACGACGTTAACCAATGCAAGTAACGCCATACAGCGGGCACTGAACGCGCGAGAACGACCACCGTGAAGTAACGGTTCTGAATGTCTTTCAAATTAAGTCGCACCGCTCAAGGAGTAGACTGGGCGTATCTTTTCAACTATAAGATTTTCCCCTGGACAGATAATCTGCCAAAGCAGCACAAAAAAACATATACTCCTCCAGTTCCACCACCAGATTCCGGCGCCACTTCACGGTGCTGTGAAGCCTGGTCCGTGATTATCACCAATCTAAAAAATCGCGTGGGTAAAATGTACGCACGGGCTATCTTCTACATGTACGATTTGTTGTCATGAAGTGTTCAAAGGCGCTTTCAGATGCGTCATCACTTTCGCCCACTCATTGACCACGGGGTAATATTAGTCACGGGGTCGATGCCGCGCGGCCTATGAAGACTGCAACGCCTGACGTCGAGGTCCTAGCTGCTAAGGTTTGCGAGCGCGGAGGTTGGAAGCTACGTTACATAAGTTGCGTCTCTAACTGATTCTGATTGAATGTTGAACATTTTCAGGCAAACATGGCTTGGCCATGTTAACACAAATTGTTGACCAATTTCGATTGACAATCTTCTTTCTCGGGGTCCGTAATACCCCTGTAGAATCCAGATAAAATGCTGGTGGAGCTTCTGAGCTCGATCACTTCAAAAAGAATTTACCGGACCACTGCAAAATGGGGGGGGGGGGGGGCGGCGATTTACTTCACGCAATTGTTCAACGCATGGTTTCTTCACTTCATTGATTATGCAGTGCCGATAGAATTTATCTGGCTGTGGCTTCTGGCTTCTATTCCAGTTAAAGAAGGAAAAATTAAAAATGGGAAAGGGCGCGTGTCCTTATAAAGAAATGGATCTTTTCCGGAGACTTCTTCGTTTTTATTTGGCGTCTTTCACTATCAGGGGGCCTTTGTCAGCCCTGTCCCGCTTTTTGCCAAGACTCAGGCTACACGCCTGGCCGTGGCTCCTGTGCCAGTCAGGGGACCACGGTGCCTGACACGGGTCCTGCGTTGGCAAAGAACGCAAAGTCGGCCTAGGACAGTGTTCGAAGGGGCCTGAAGAGGAGATCGATGGGCCCCTTGACACCGACGATCGTGCCCCACTGCAGAACACCACGTGGCTGTAGGTTGCGTTAAGTAGCCCGGCTCGCAGGGCCGGCCCATGGGATGCCAGTGAGAGGGCCTCTTACACCGATTGGGGGCACCGGGGACAAAGCGGGCCTCTTTTCGATCAGAGACCACCAAACCGAGCAGTCGGCTTTGTTTCGGTCTGAGCCCTTAGGCCCACCTGCCGAGCAGGGGCAAGGCCGGGACGCGCGATTTGCTTTGGCCGGGATCCCCTGAAGGAATAAGGGCCCTTTCTAGGTCAGGGGCCCACAGTGCTTAACAGAGGATCCTGTATCGGCAAAAGGCCCCGATTCGGCCTGGGTAACGATTTCTGAACAGGAGAGGGA